AAAACATTTCTTAATGTTTCGTAACAAGTCATAATTATATTTAAGGTTATTTTACTTAACATGGTTCTTTAAAAAAGTCTGTTTGTTTGTTTGAAGTTAACAACAATGCTACACAATGGGCTATCTGTGCTCTGCCCGCCACGGGTATCGAAACCCATTGGGGGGGGGCACTGTAAGAAAGAAAAGCCACTTAACGAATAAACAGAATATACGCTACAGAATAATATCATGACAAAATATATGAATCAGTCTGTAGGTATAAAAATAAACGCTGTAATTCTGATATAGGGTTAAATACCCTCCAAAAAAAACAAAACAAAATGTACATTTGTTTTGTTTCTACAGCGTCTTAAGAGAACCCAAAATAACTCCAAGAGAAAGCAGTCATGCAATGTGCATGTTTGTCAAATCGTAACATAAATATGGTAGTGTTGAACAAGTTGTGCAGAACAATTTTCTGGTACGATTACTCATTTTTCACACTGGATTATTAATAGATTTTGTAGGACACGTCTCTGATAAGTGAAATTTTACAGCCTTGTCTGCTTTATGACTTTGCTGTAAATCAATTAATCTGATCCATTAGTTACGATATGAAAACCGCTTGCTCGACATGGGTGTAAATTGACACAGTAATGATTATTTTACTGCACTGAGTCATTTTCATCCCTTAACAAACAAACAAACATGTAGACCTTCATAAGAAACAGCTAGGCGTTGTGTGAAACCACAACAAACAGCTTAGAGTTGTGTGACACCATAAGAAACGATCAAGCGTTGTGTGACAATACAACAAACAGCTAAGAGTTGTGTGACACCATAAGAAACAATCAAGCGTTGTGTGAAAATACAACAAACAGCTAAGAGTTGTGTGACACCATAAGAAACAATCAAGCGTTGTGTGACAATACAACAAACAGCTAAGAGTTGTGTAACACCATAAGAAACAATCAAGCGTTATGTGACAATACAACAAACAGCTAAGAGTTGTGTGACACCATAAGAAACAATCAAGCGTTATGTGACACCACAACAAACAGTCAAGCGTTGAGGGAATCCACGACAAATATAGTTAAACGTTGGGTGACTCAACAACGAGTAGTTAAACGTTATGTGACTCCATAATAAATATAGCATTTAACGAGGATAAACTTTAGAAACAAAAACTACCCCTAAAGAGAAGAAATAAAATAACTGTTTGGGTTATCATGATGAATTATAAATTCTTGAAAATTTATTTGAAAGAGCAAATAAATACTTTCATTTTGATCTAATATTTTAATACGCTAGACTAAAAACACTAATACAACCCGCAACAAAAACTAGGCACATACTAGTATAAAATACCTGCTCTGTACTGTATGGCTCAAAGGCCCCCTGTGTACCGATCAAACTCTTCCATTAGTTCCAATTACTTCTATAGTCACCCCCAAGGTGGGACTTTATCCCACAGAAAACCCATTGGGATACTCGCCCATGACATCTGTACATGTTTGGTCCTACTAGCTTGTGAGAGGGGATGCGAATAGTTTTAAACATGGCTCCCCTGGATCCCAAGGGGGGTCAGGAACACAACATCTGATACCAGAACCAGGTTAATTGAACACGAAAACCTAATCCTAGAATCCATCATGCCTAAGTGACCTATATGGGACATTCAGCTATCTTTAGTATCCTTGGTAAAAGGTTAAGCTATTATAGATAAGGAAACCCCGGGCTACCTCGAGTAGGCTTGGCAAGTTTGGTCTTACTAGCTCCAGAACTGTGGGAGGAGTATTTCGTTGACAGACAGATAAACAAAAAATAAATTCACATACAACGTGAATTAATATAGGGCCAGTATTAAATTCCCGAGCTCCTCTTCAGGGTTCAAAGGCTCCCCCCTCACGGTTCACAGGAGCCTCAATGTACCGATAAAGTTCTTCCATTGTCTCCAATTGCTTATACGGCTACCCCAAGGGGTAATCGCTCGTATTACCTGAGCGATTGCCATGTTGAGGAGATATGTAACCAGTTTCCAACATGGAGCCCCAACATCCCTAAGAGCTCGGCATGGCCAGGTGGTTAGGACGCTTGACTCGCAATCTGCGGGTCGCGGGTTCGCATCCCCATCCCACCAAACATGCCCGCCCTTTCAGCCGCGGGGGCGTTATAATGTGACGGACAATCCCACCATTCGTTGGTAAAAGAGTAGCCCAAGAGTTGGCGGTGGGTGGTGATGACTAGCTGCCTTCCCTCTAGTCTTACACTGCTAAATTAGGGACGGCTAGCGCATATAACCCTCGTGTAGCTTTGCGCGAAATTCAAAACAAACAAACAAACATCCCTAAGCGAGGGACAAAAACACAAAACACGATGCCAGATTCGGGTTCAGCAACTCTGAAGCCCTACTTTTAGAATTTCATCATGCCTAGGTTACCTCCCAGGGGTGTTTTGTCCCCTTCTGTAGGGAACTACGCTACAAAGAGAAAGACAAACCCCGGCCCACTCTGAATCTGACTACCTTGTTTGGTAATATTAGCTGTAAAACTATAGGATAAATTCGAAGACAAACAAACCAACAAATAAATTCGAACACAACGTGAATTAATATAGGATAATCTAAGTGAAACTTTTGATTTCCTTTAGCCGGGGGTAGCCTAGTGTTAGCATGCCCGGACTGTGAATCCGTAGACTCAATGTTCTAGTCCCACGTCCTATTGCCGCAAAAACACACTTCATCGCTCACCTCTTTGAGGCCGAGAATGAGTTATAAATGTGAAAGTCAAATCCCGTTAATTTGGTTAGAGTAGCAAAAGTGTTGGCGGTAGTTGCTTTGGGGTAGCTGCCCTCCTCCTACCCCTTGCCTATCAGGTCAAAATTAAAAACGACTATACGTAGATAGTGCTTGATTAGATTTGCGCAATAAAACCACGAAACAAATTAATTCCAGATTGTTTCCTTTCCAAAAAAAAAAAAAAACGATTTAGTGGCTTTGGAATAAATGGAGTATTAATCTTTTGGATCAATTTGTAGAATTAACCTTGTTTTAAAACACAGATCTAGTTTTTGCAAATGTTCGAACTTAATTCGACAGAATGATTTTTTTTAATTCGATATCAAAAAGAAAGGTTAAGATGGTTTTTACTCTCGTAGTTGGGGAACTTTTGATCATAAAAAAAACCAACACAATATAAAGAATAATAATTTCGGTAATGGTCCCTTTATAGTTTCATTTCTATCAGTCATGTTCATTGTGTAATTAAAACGCTAAATTAACATGGCGCATTGTGGCTTTAGTTTTCTGTGTTTAGTTTTAGTGTAATATTTATGTGTTGGAATTTTTCACGCTAATTTCTTTCGTTGTAACTGAGTGTTCTAGAAATATCAATAATGGACTTCTTACCGAAAAGACCCCCCGGTGGCACAACGGTATGTCTGCGGACTTACAACGCTAGAAACCGGGTTTCGATACCTGTGGTGAGCAGAGCACAGATAGACCCATATGCAGCTTTGGGTTTAATTACAAGCTTACCGAAAATATCCAACATATGACTCTTAATTAGTTTAGACGAAAATAGTACAGTTTGATTGACAAGAAAAATCCGAGTTATGCTGTCTTATTCAATTCGTGCATTAATTTATAACTTTAATGTCTCCTCTGTTGATTCAGTGGTAAGCTTGAGGGCTTATAAAACTACTATTGAGGGTTCGATTCAAGAGGATACACAGGGCATATGTCCTATTGTTGGGCTGAAACAAAATCATTCAGCCTAAATCAATAACTACAACATATCAAATAACAGACTTTAGACAGGATGAAGATTAATCTATGATACATATAAAAACCTGTTTTAACTTCAACGTATTAAATAACAGACTTTAGACAGGATGAAGATTAATCTATGATACATATAAAAATCTGTTTTAACTTCAACGTATCAAATAACATACTTTAGACAGGATGAAGATTAATCTATGATATATATAAAAACCTGTTTTAACTACAACGTATCAATTAACATACTTTAGACAGGATGAAGATTAATCTGTGATACATATAAAACCTGTTTTAACTTCAACGTATCAAACAACAGACTTTAAACAGGATGAAGATTAATCTATGATACATATAAAAACCTGTTTTAACTACAACATATCAAATAACAGACTTTAGACAGGATGAAGATTAATCTATGATACATATAAAAACCTGTTTTAACTACAACGTATTAAATAACAAACTTTAAACTGGGTGAAGATTGATATATGATACATATAAAAACCTGTTTTAACTACAACATATCAAATAACATACTTTAGACAGGATGAAGATTAATCTATGATACATATGAAAACCTGTTTTAACTACAACGTATCAAATAACAAACTTTAAACTGGGTGAAGATTGATATATGATACATATAAAAACCTGTTTTAACTACAACATATCAAATAACATACTTTAGACAGGATGAAGATTAATCTATGATACATATAAAACCTGTTTTAACTACAACGTATCAAATAACAAACTTTAAACTGGGTGAAGATTAATCTATGATACAAATAAAAATTTGTTTTCAAACCAAAATACAAGAAAAAAATTCTTGTTCTGAACGAAACACAATCTAAATTATTCTGTGTGTGTTTTATTTCTCAATTTATTTGTATAGTAACATTGTACTATATGGCAAAAAATGCTTTTACATAAATATTTAATCTGCTCCCTCCCAAAAAAAGATTTAATGAAACAAAAATTCTACCACATAGATTGTGCAAAGAAAAACAACAACAACAAAACACGTCATGTTGAAAATAGCACAGTCATGGTAAATCTTGTTATGATAAGAAAAGTTTACCTATTATATTTGATATTTCAGGCAGGATTATGTGGACTGTGATACTTACCAGCTTGTCAGATTTTTTTATTGGAACTACAACGGTCTTCCCATTGTATTCTTTTTTCTCAGACGATGTTTGGTGCTGAATGTTTTGATTAGTTTTCAACATATACTAACATGCTGAGATTTACTGTCTGATGTACTAACATGCTCAGGTTCACTGTCTGATGTACTAACATGCTCAGGTTTACTGTCTGATGTACTAACATGCCCAAATTTACTGTCTGATGTATTAACATGCTCAGGTTCACTGTCTGATGTACTAACATGCTCAGGTTTACTGTCTGATGTACTAACATGCTCAGGTTTACTGTCTGATGTACTAACATGCTCAGGTTTACTGTCTGATGTGTTAACATGCCCAGGTTCACTGTCTGATGTACTAACATGCTCAGGTTTACTGTCTGATGTATTAACATGCTCAGGTTCACTGTCTGATGTACTAACATGCTCAGGTTTACTGTCTGATGTACTAACATGCTCAGGTTTACTGCCTGATGTACTAACATGCTCAGGTTTACTGTCTGATTTACTGACATGCTCGGGTTTACTTTCTGATGTACTGACATGCTCGGGTTTACTGTCTGATGTATTAACATGCTCATGTTTACTGTCTGATGTATTAACATGCTCAGGTTCACTGTCTGATGTATTAACAAGCTCAGGTTTGCTGTCTGATGTACTAACATGCTCAGGTTCACAGTCTGATGTATTAACATTCTCAGGTTCACTGTCTGATGTACTAACATGCTCAGGTTCACTGTCTGATGTACTGACATGCTCAGGTTTACTGTCTGATGTATTAACATGCTCAGGTTTACTGTCTACTGTATTAATATGCTCAGGTTTACTGTCTGATGTATTAACATGCTCAGGTTCACTGTCTGATGTATTAACATGCTCAGGTTTACTGTCTGTAGTATTAGCAAGCTCAGATTTACTGTCTGATGTACTAGCATGCTCATGTTTACTGTCTGATGTACTAACATGCTCAGGTTTACTGTCTGATGACCCTTAAGTAGATATTAGTTAATATATATATATGTATCAGTTCGGTTTTAGAATAAATGTATAGATATAACTTGAACAGAAAAGTACGACATACAAGGGCAGCTTCATAACACATAAATTTCTATAATAAAGCCTGATATATACAGTTACTGTGTACTAGTATGAGTTCAATATCCCGCTCCATTTCCAGACGTATATATATGTTGATCCTCTTTATTCTACTTGACGTCCAGTCATCCAGATTGTATCCACATCATTTACATGACATAGCTAGTAAGCCTACTAGCCATAATTCACATTAAAGCAAGAAAGCGTTGCTGTGTTTTCTTGTCTACGTATAGTCATGGAGGATTCATCAACCATAATCTCTGCCAGAGTCATGCAAGAACCAAGTGGTTCTCCTTCTTACGTTGATGTAACCTAATTTTTTATTTATGACACTAGCAGAAAAAAAAACACATAATTGAAACACGAAACCTAAGGATCAATATCGGAAAATGGATCGACTAAAGCGTTATAAAATATAACCTTTTTAATCATACCGCAAAAGCCGTACAGCATAATACGCTTTGAAATTGTAAATAACAGGCTAATAAATCATAAATACTGTTAACCTTATACCGATAAGCTATACGTGTACTAAAACATAGAGAAGTAAATCACTGATATTATAAGGCATAAACCAGTACATCTGGTGTTCGTACATTCATTGCTTATTATTCTGTAAATTGAATTATAGAAATTATTTCACTGACGATACCCAGGTGGTTAGGGGGCGCTCGACTCGTAATCTGAGGGTCGCGGGTTCGAATCCCCGCCACTACCAAACATGCTCGCCCTTTCAGCCGTGGGGGCGTTATAATGTGACGGTCAATCCCACTATTCGTAAAAGAGTATCCCAAAATTTGACAGTGGGTGGTGATGACTAGCTGCTTTCCTTCTAGTCTTTCACTGCTAAATTAGGGACGGCTAGCCCAGATAGCCCTCGTGTAGCTTTGCGCGAAATTCAAAGCAAACTAAACTCTTTCTCCTTAACGGACAGTCACGTGACAGACTATGTATTGTTTTTTTTACAGCATGACAGACACTTGTTATTATCATAATTTCTAAAACAAATTTCTCAATTGCATTATACGCATTATCAGAGACAAGAATTTATAGCAACATTTTCATTAAGACTGATACTTTCAAATACGTTACCGTATTACTTCTAAAATACTCACCAGGGAAATTTATTTGTAAAAATGGTCATGGAAAATTAAAGCATTCATAATTTTATATATATATTCAAGACATGGTTTTTTATATTGAGAAGACGAAGATTAGAAATCAAAGTACAGATGAGAGTTATATATGATGAGATGTCCTAATTATACTTTAAAGTTAATGCATCCAAGAACACCTGAAACCAAAGTCAATCATTTCGACAGACAGCGTAAGAGTATTATTTCGACTTTTTACTGTACAAAAAGTATTTACTTTTATTTGAATACTAATAGTGTATAAGGAAAAAATTAAACATCTTGTTTATTTCTTTAACGTTACCAAATTTAGCGTTTATTTCAAATAAGCTTAATAAACATCAGTTTTTGAATATATACACATTTTAAAATTTTGAAGATGGGTGTAATAAGTAAACATTACCGATTACTCTCTAGGTTAAATACATGCTCGTTTCTTCAGAGCGCAGTTACTTGAAGAGTTAATTTATAACATAAGTAGATTTTTTTTTCAGTTCACCAAAATTGGTTAAATTTTCTATTTTTTCCTTTCACAAACACGACAGCTAATAATACGAAATGTAATTTAGTATAGCCTGTAATAAACATTAAAAGTATTTTATAAACAAGTCCGAGGGCTCATAACGCTAAAATCTAGGTTTCGATACCCGCAATGGGCAGAGCGCAGATAGCCCATTGTGTAGCTTTGTGTTTTATTACAAACAAACGATTTTCGTATTTTTCAATATTTGCTTTAAATTTGATCGTTCTTAACTTTATCTTTGAAAAAAAATCAAAATAATTTTTGTTGTATCTTGACTCGTTTATACTTTTATCCCACGATACCAAATCAGTTTAACAGTGAAACATAAACGCAAACAGACTGAGAGTAACATAACCATTGTATTTCTTTAGGTATTTATTTTTGTTGACGACACAGGTGTAATCTTCAGAGCTCATGACGCTAAAAGTTGAGGCTCGATCCCCGCGGTAGGCAGAACATAAATAGCCGATTGTGCAGCTTTGTGCTCAAGAACAAATAAACAGTTTGTTTGTCTGACTTACAAACACAGAGCAAAGTTTGTAATGAATATTAAGCTGCTTTATCCGAGTAAGTTCATTTCATAAAAGTACATTGGAACAATGAGGTTGTAGCCCAACCGCAGAAAATTACGCACTTGAAAATACCTGGTCCATGTACGAACAGAAAATTACAGCCAATAGATGGCGCACTGACACTCCACGGCTTAAAGTTATCAGAAAATCAGGGTGACTATTTATTATTGTGATATGTGATACAAACTTTACAAGGATTATGGAAATTATGTTCCTTGAATACTGACGGAGTACACGTTTAGGTGAAGATTAGGAAGTAGTTGACGATACAGAAATAATCTATAAAGCTATTAAGTGTAAGTACTTGATATGACACAATTTGTTGCTGGTTTCTGGAGAACAATAATCAATCATGGAAATGAACAAAATATATTGGGTAACCGAGATCAATCATGTTCCGGGTCTAACCATCAGCGAACAAGATCATGACGATTATTTTGAGACATCAAAAGTGTGATCATGATTGATCATCTGACAAAAAAAAAAAAAAAAAAAAAAAAAAAAAATTTAT